TGCAGCCCTAGTGGTGCCGATGTCGCCGTGACCTATTGACATCACTCTTCCCCTCCATCAGCTATAGCTGTTTCATTTTTATACCTGTTTTTCTCCATCTGCCTTCTGTTATTGCCCTTCCCAAGTCTAAACTTTTAGGCTTCCCCCTACAATTGCCTCAATGAAATTTCTGCCTCTGAACAGATACACTAAATAAGTTTATGTACCTAATGTTTATTTGTGCTTTATACATAAAAAGTAACTTATCTTGCCCCCAAGAACCATTTTTATGGCTGAGATGCATGCATTACATTGACATCTTATAAAAGGTAAAATTTTCCCTTTTGTAGGAGGGGTTTCCATTTCACTAAGCCATGTTTAACTGTATTAACTCGGAGCTCTGTTGTCTTAACACACCTGTGCTTTTTAAAATTGCTTTATTTTAAGCTGATTATTATTTTAAAAAGTACACTAAAATCTAAGTCTATTGGCAACACTGGAAAATTGACTTTTCATGTTGTGTAGAAGTCAATTTTTTCCACCCTGGACTGAAGGCCTCTAAACTATGCATTATTCCTGCACCAGCCATATTTGCCTTTCATTTGTGCAATAAATACTTATGGAGATATGCTGTGTGGAAGGCTGTGTCACAGCCGAGGACCCAGTGGCTCCTGGTGTTCCATCTGGTTCCTTTATCCTGTTAGCAGACTGCCAGTCTGGGTTGTGTGGACTTGTCTAGTGCAGGGTTGTTTTGACTGCACTGATTTTTAAACATTAGCAACAAAGTGAAAAGGGTTCTTGGTGAAAAACTCAGTTAGTTGCCATAACGGTTTGTCAACCACACTGTATATATTATATGCATGAAAAGACTGCGGGCCACGTCCTGCAGTTGGTGTAGTTCTTATGTTCCTGCCTGTTCTGCAGTCTGTGACAGTTGTCAGGCTACCCCAGTGCTCAGTGCTTGTCTGCAGGGAAAGTGTCTGCCTAAGTTCTTGGCCCATTGTAGACAGCCAGTATAGTGTCAGGATACATGCACACAATGGCCACTGAAACTTCAGTATAGGGTTTAAAGGATAAGGCTGTCTCGCTCCACTGTGTAAGTGCCAAGGAATAAAATATAAGATTTCTAGTAAAATTCAGAAGGTCTAGAAGATAGGGGCCAAATGCACTTCAGCAAAACAGGAAGTTCTGTACAGTGTCTGGAGACTTGGGCTTGACTGGCCATCAGGCACAGAGCCTGGCATTCACTCTTTCGTTGCAAAAATATTTACTGAGCTCCTAATCTCTTTGGTGAATATGACAGAAGCCATCCTCTCACCCATGCTTTCCACCTCCGTTTCCTGGACTGAGAGTGTAGGGCATTTTAGTGCAGAGCAATCGTTCATTGAGTCAGCATGTAGTTTGAGTCTGTAACGCAGGTACACCATTGTGAGGTGATACAGAGAGACTTCATCTCTGGTCTTAGGGACATCGCAAGCTTTTTGGTTCACCATTCAATCATTCACACATGTGCTGAGATATGAGAGATGGACAAGAGCACAGTCGGTCCCTGAAGGGCTGCAAGTCCCACCCAGAGAGGCTAAAGACTATAGCGTGTTCGGAAGAATGTGTTATGTTTGGCGACCATAAATAACAACCTTGCTACCATGTCAGGAGAGCACAGAGGATGAGCACAGATGTGGCAATTTCTGAATGAGAGAAGTCAAGGCCAAGATGTAACTTTTTTTCTTTTGGTAGCACTAGAGATGGAGCCCAGGGCCTCATGTATGCCAGGCCAAGATAGGAGTTTTGAGCTAAGTTTTTAGCTGTGGCTGAGAAGGGTGTTGGAAAAGAGGGAAGGGGAGAGATTTCCAGTTAGAGGAAGTGGTTTAAATGACTAAACAGGGCTGTAAGGCAGCGAAGCAACTTTATATAACAGCAAGTGCTTTGAGTTGGCTGCAGGAGGTGAATGCTAATCTAATGAGGCAGTTGCAGCATAAATGCTAAGAACTAAATCCTTGTAATACTGGCACAGTAAATAGATTAATGAGACAACCCAGATTCAACAAACATACTTTGTGATAAAGTATGTTCATCACAAATCAGGGATTTTAAGTAATTCTGGGACAACTGATAACATAGTTGGAAAATAATAGGTTACAGTTACTGAAAGGATCAAGTAAATTACCTGCTGCTCCCCTTGCTTAATGAATGTGTTGGTCCTGTGAAGCAGTCGGTCTTGATCAGCCTCATGCTCACAAGGGCCCTGCATTTGGTTTAGTTCTCAGCTGTGGTAGTTCCCTGGACAGTTGGCAGTTTTGAGTATAACACCCACATCTTCCTTTTTTTTTTTTTTTTTTTTTTTTTTTTGTCTGCTTTGGGCCCTACACAGTATGTAGCATCCTGTCTGTGAGGTTGGTCATCTGTGGGGACAGAGGTTGCAGAGCTACACTGTAGAAGTAGATGTCCTCATGTCCCCTGGAGAGTTGCAGCCAGTCCAGTTAGTGTGGCCCAGCCACATTGGCAGGACCGTGTGCATCATGTATGTACATGTGGACGCCTCAGACGTCCAGCCCAGTACCATTAGACGTTCTGTTTATTTGACGATCTCTCTTAACCTCCCGTTTCCTGCTCACCAAGCAACCTTTTAATTGTGATGTGGCATCTGTGGTCTTACTGCAGGAGAGAACGAGATGGCTGGCTGACACCATGGCTCTTCCTGGAAGTTAGTAAGTTCTGCTTATGTGCATCAGTGAGGGTCTTAGAGCCTGCCCCTTCAAGACAGGATGCTGCTTTTGGATTTTTGAGATTAAAGGGTGGAGTCTAAGGATTGTGCCTGTGAAGTCAACAAAGAGCCAAGTGTTGAGCAGTAGTTGAGGACCAAGGCTTGGGAGTCAAGACACTCAGATAGTCCTGTAATCTAATATGGGTCCTGTCCCTTTCTAGGATGTGTGGGTGTGGCCTGTGGCCTTGTCTTCACCTGCCAGATGAAGACTTTAACACATTCTGCTGTAGCGAGATTGAGTAAGATCTGGTTATGAGCTACAGGATCAGGATTTCTCAGCCTTAGTACTGTTGATATTTTGGACCAGATAATGCTTTGTTTGAGGGTGTGGGGCCATTGTAAAGCCATCCCTGACCTAAAGCCCCACAGATGCCAGTACCTTCCCCCGAATCACCACAGTTGCGACAATCAGAATACCTCCCTCCAGACTTTCCAGGTGTCCTCTGTGGCGGACAAACTTGGGCCTGGTTAAGAACCATTCGGGTTGATACGTAGAGCACGAGGGGTTAGAGTAGTGGTGATGGTGGCATTGCAGTAATGACGCAGGTCTCGTGATGGCAGGTCCTCTGGGAGGACATCTATCAGCCTTTCCTTGGTCTTTGCTTCTTTCAAGTTCAGTGTGTGTGTGTCAGAGTAGACCCCACGTGGACCAGACAGTAAATGTACAGACCTGTCTGTAAGAGATTAAAATTAGCTTTGCTTATGAGGGAACCATGTCCAAGCTAAAAAGCATTACATGTGTGGCATTTAACATGGGTCTGAGTCACACTGGAGCATTTTCTTCCTTGATAGATGTAGCTACATTAAAAAAAAAAAATACATGATCTGTTAAAACTTTATAGTAATCATTAAAAATCAAGGAGCATAAAATGATTATGGTAGCTTAAACAGAACAGTATTAAGAAACTGGTTTAAGTCAAAACAGAAACCAAATATTACCCATAGATAAAAACAAAAAAGGAAATATAGTTAGCCTATAAACATTTGAAATTGTTCAAGCTTAATTTTTATTTTTTAAGCTTAATTTTAAAAATCTAAATCTTTTAAGTTGGCAATAAACTTGGAAATAATGTCCAATTTTCTCATATGGTAAAAGAGCCTTTTTATGCTTGATTCATAGGATTATACCTAGGTCCAAGCCCTCCAAAAAGAAGCGTGGTCACAAATAGGTCTTTTTTTTTTTTTTTTTTCCCCAGAACCAGGGATTGAACTCAGGCCTTTGCACTTGCCAGGGAAGCGCTTATTCCACTGAGCCATTTCCCCGGCTCCTCAAATAAGTCTTGATATCTGTCATGTATTCTACCCTCCCCAGGTAACATTTGAGGATTATGCCTACAGCATAATCTTAAATGTAGATAACTATTTATGTATGAGGGATTTACTTCAATGTTTTAGTCAAAGCCCACCTAAGTGAACAGCATTAGGAAAGTAGTTAATTACAGCATATGATAAGTAATCAGCAGACCTTCAAAACAACATTTACTGTTTCTGATGACACAAAATCCTCATGGTGTTAAAACTAAAAACAAAAACAAAAACAAAACCAGCTAAAAATTGAGTATGTACTATAAACACTCAAAATAAAGACTGGAAGGGAATTTCTTTCTGTCTTCTTTCTTTCTTTCTTTCTTTCTCTTAATGTATATGATACAGGGTCTCACCATGCAGCTCTGACTCCTAGTGATCCTCCTGTTCTCAGCCTCCCCAGCACTTGGATTACAAGTGTGCCGCCACAGCCAGTTGTGGTGGCCGGCGCAGCATGCAGTGCCGGGATTGAACCTGGGTCCTGGTGCTGACCAGCGGGTGCTATTTCCCCAGCTTCTTTATTGCATTTTTAAAAGATACTTTTAGCTATTAAGTACTTCTTTGACTTGAAAATAGAGACAGAGGGGCTTAAGTTTTGGATAGAAGAAAGCAGAAAGCGGTTGTCAATATCTTAAAAATAGAGCTTTGTATTCCAATAATATCCTTAGAAATTATATTATGAAATCAGTTTTAGGGTATAAATTGCTTGCCCTGAAATCAGTGTATTTTTTATGTCTTGATACCTTTTGTTCAGTAATTTTAAAATACATATTTACTCTTTTTTTTGTCTTTTCTGCTTTTTAGTTGAAGTTTATTTTTTATTTTTGGTGCTGAGGACTGATCCCAGGGCTTCCCGCTTGCTAGGGAAGCATTCTCCTGCTGGCTAAATCCCCAGCCCTACCACAGTGTTTTTGATGAACAAATGTTAAGCTGTGCATTTTTGTGCTTCCAGTGTGTGCCGAAGCGTACAACCCTGATGAGGAGGAGGATGACGCCGAGTCCCGGGTAAGCGCCTCGCTGAGCGAGTGACTGCAAAGCAACACTTGTGTTTCCTCAGGAAAATAATGATAGAGATGGTAGTAGGCATCCTATGTAATAGGAAACAATGGGATCATTTTGGCTATTTCTTTTCCTACTCTTAACTTCTACTTCAACTTCTGTGGAAATATTTTTATCCAAAAATGCATGTCTTTGGATAAAATGTAAAAAGAACAGTATATTGCTCATTGCACTTGAATGTTTTTTGTTTGTGAAATATATCCTGGTGACAAAAAAAATGTTTTTAGTGATGTTTTGCATAGTAATAAAGTTATCTTTCTTAGAATGTGTTTCTAGTAAAGAAAAATACTGAAAAAGACCTCCTATTAATGGATAACAACAGAAGCTTGCTCTGAAACAAACACGTAGCAGTAAAATTACATCTAAGGCATGAGTGCAGCAGTTGTTGTTTTTAAAAATCTGGGTCTTGATAATTTGCTCAGCAGCTGCTTCGTTGGAGGCTGTAATGTTTTTGCAAGAGGTTGACTGGTGCACTTAGATGCAGTGTTTAAACTGTGTCCTTTAGCTTGGTTCTTCTCTTATTTACTCACTAAAAAGTAAACTAAATAAGAGATTGCTGTGCCTGGAAATGGAAAGTACTGATTTACTTTGTTACTTTTTTTTTGAGTGCGTACTTTGCAGAAGTCCCCATGTCTCTTTGACCTTAAGAGTATAAACGAAAACCTATGTGTCAAGCTCTGAAAATTACGTCAGTAAGATGGAGTTTTAGTACAGAAAAGCAGACAGTAGGTCCGTAAGTCATTTCATCAGGGAGCGCTGTGAAGTGAATATGAAGTCCAGGGAGGGTGAGGTCAGGGAGGATCCCGAGGTCGCACAGTACTGTGGGCCCCGGCTCTCTCGCCCACTCCCAGAACTTACTTTGATGAGCCCACAGATCCCAGGCTGGAAATGATGCTGCTTTAGGATCACAATATTTCTACTAACCTGATACGCTATAGCTGTTTATGTAGCCTGAACAGCTTGACCCTGCCTATCTTATTTATGTGTCTAGCAGCAGCGGGAAGGGGGACATTAAAGAGCACATCCATTCTTCATTTTTATGGATAAACAGTAAGATTTAGCAGCTGACTGAGTTTTGAATAAGTGGTGTAAATTAGTAACAATCTAAATCAGAGAGCATTTAACAGTGCAGTTTGGCAACAAGGTATGGAATCTTGTTGAGTCCAGGATTGTGAGACCTTGTAAGGAGTTTTAGCCACCACTGAGTCCCTGAAATGAGTATGGTGTTGTGGTTGGCTTGCAACAACCCAGTGGCTCTGTTGGGGAGATTATGTTCCCCAGCTCTAGGGAAAGAAAACTTTTTCACTTGCCTGTACAAAGAAACCTAATCACATTGGGATAAGCATAAATAAGAAAACACAGGGAGGGAGAACTTATTGGACAGATGGTTAGATCTTATTACTCCCAGATAATGTTCAAAAGCCAAGCTACTGCTGACAGGCTGGAGCTGGCCTGGGGCCCTTTCAGTGGCAGAGTAGAGGACTAGAGTGTTGTTTTTGAAGGTGCTCAGTTTGCAGACCCGCCCCCTCCCCCCCATGTGTTCAGGTTCTCGCTGCCAGTTGTGTAGGTGTTCTGATCACACGCTCCCTGGCATCAGGTCCCCAAGACCAGAGGAGGAGCAGAGGGAGGGGAAAGAGGGGGCGGTTTTGCAGGGTGGGCATCATCTCAAGACTCTTCCTCTGTAATATATTTTAAGGGTTTTTTTGAGTAAGTACTATATGAATTATGTCAATGATCATAATGAAGTGCTTAAGTTTTTTAAGGGCGTATTCTTACCCCTAGACAGGTTCCTAGGGGTGAAAACTGCCCACCTTAGAAATCATAAGGGAAAACTGTACCATAGCCCTAGGGAGTAGTTACTACATGTTTCAAAATTAATTAGCCCTCAACAGATACTAGAAAATGTCCATGAAGAAAATGTATACTATATTTTGATAGAGTAACATTTTATATGGGTATTGTGTTACTTCTAGCATTTTATGTATCACCTATGCCTTAAATTTTTATTAATAGATATTTGTCCTCTTATATCAATTTAAAGAAAATCTAAATACTTAGTATTTGTTTTAGAAAAGAACAAAGTAGATTTTAGTTGAAATGCCTTAAATAAATGACAAGTTAAGGATTGCATATGGAACCTAGTGGGCAGAACCTGGGAGAGAAGAGCTGATAGATTCAGCAGCAGTAAGTCTTCGTCCTGTTACCTGTAGAGCCCTCTGGGATCGCCTTCTGCACTATGCAGAGGGGCTGGTGTGGCATGCAGAGTGAGTGTTGCCAGAAACCTGCACCACGTCTTCAGGGCCCGGGGAGCAGGAGCAGGAGCAGGAGCAGGAGGAGGAGCAGGAGCAGGAGCAGGAGGAGGAGCAGGAGCAGGAGCAGGAGGAGGAGCAGGAGCAGGAGGAGGAGCAGGAGCAGGAGCAGGAGCAGGAGGAGGAGCAGGAGCAGGAGGAGGAGCAGGAGCAGGAGGAGGAGCAGGAGGAGGAGCAGGAGCAGGAGGAGGA